TTCCCTGACCATCGTCCGTTTTACCACAGTAATTACTAAAACTTGCTTGTATAAATACGATTGCTTTGTGTTGTAGCAACTGAAGAGATTTAAAGAAATGTTAACATCTCGCAGTATTTGTCTTCTATCGGTTTTACCGCATTGGATAAAGGAGACCCAATGTTTCAAGAATGCGAATGTTGTCAGTTTACTGATATATCCTTCAGTGTCTCCAATCAACTAATTAGTCTTTTGGATCCCAACCCGAAAGCGAGAGACGTCTGCCATGTCTAATACCTCTGTACATTTCTTCATGCCTCGTTTCCATATCATTTGTTGACCTCGAGCGGGTCCTTCAATCCGGGGTCGCAACTGCAAATAATGCGCGGTGGTAAACGATAACCGGGTATGCGCAATTCATGCCCTAACCAGTAAAGCCTACTCATGTGAATTAATCATGTGATTAAAAATGTTTTCACCGAATGACTACCTTATATTCGACGGATTACTCCAGAGTTGCTTGTACGGTCGGTCCATCCAACCGGTGCCAAACTACGTAAAAGTCGACAGTTGAAAACCTCCAGACGATTAATGTTTTGCACGCGCACGTTTAGGGTCTCACAACCGCAAAGTAGAGCTGACAGCACAGGGACGCAGTTTACGCGACCTTTAAGTTTGAAGGAAACATCACCTCGGCACACAAGGTGTTTCAGTCCTGCGTATGCTGCTGTCTTAGAAATGGGAGTAGTTAATTCCTGACTGTGGTTTCCTCATTTGTCACACAACTAAATACGAGAAACAATTCACTGTAACTAATTCCTAACCATCAAACATCAGAACTGGGGGAAAACAACCGGTTTAGCAGCAGCACTGCACTGCAAAGTGTGTGTCAAGTAGAGCTCCAGAATTCTGCCCATCCTACACACAGTCGAACAAGCACACAATATCGTCAGCGACAGTTCCTAGAACACCGTCATCCAACCAAAGACCAAAAATCATCGTGATCTTAGACGTCCGAGTGGCCATCGACACCACCGATAGACCGCAGTACGAAACTGTTTGTTTAGAAATCGAGAATCTGAGAATTATGTTCTGATCCTCAAGAAGTTGAATCGCCGTACCTCAGGTACCCTTGAGTCCATCGGCCGGCTGTCGCCACTCCTTGTCGTCTCCATTGATGTGCATTTCTTTATGCCTCGTCTCCACGTCATTTGCTGGCCTCCACGTGGCCTTCTCCAGTCTGTAACATCCACTGCGAGTAAGGCGCGCTGCGGTAGGCGACCGTCGGACATACGCAAAACCTGTCCTAACCAACGCAGCCTACTGGACTGGATTCGATGCGATAACGACTTCTTGTTTGATGTATTCCCAAACACCCGACGAGTTACTCCTAAGTTATTAACCGGCTCACGCCATCCCACTTGGGCCAGACTACGTAAGCACCGATTGTCGAACACTGCTAAACGACGGGTGTCTTCTACCCGCTAATTCAAGGTCTCACAACCGTAAAGCATAACTGATCGTATGGTGGCGCAGCATACGCGACTTTTCAACTTTAATGACACGTGACGTCGCCGTCCTGCGTACGCTGCTCGAGCCTTGGAAATGCAGGCGGCCATCTCCGTCGTCGGTCACGCAGCTACCTAAGTAAGAGAAACAGTCAACTTCAGCTAATTCCTGACCGTCTAGTTTCAGAACAGAACTCGGCGACACCCAGTCTTGTAGCATCACTTCGCACTTTGAAGGTGCCAAGCACATGCCGAACGGAGCGACAGAACTTGCTAATCTGTCAAGTGCTCTTTATGCATCCTCCATAGATTAGAAAAGACAAACAATGTCGTTAGTGTACTCCAAATCGCAGTTTTTCACCAGCTGCCCATTCAATACCAACATTTTGGAGACCACTTAGTGCGTTCTCCAGTATTTCATCTATGACAAAATTGAACAGGAATGGCGAAAGACAACAACCCTGACGAACACCGCTGCTAGTTACGAACGATCTACTCAGCTCGCCCTAGACCCTTACGCTAACAGAAGTATGTGAGTAGAGTGAACTCAATATGTTCACATACTTCTGCGGCATTCCTTTGCGAAGGAGCAAACCCAAAAGGGATTCACGATCAACTAAGTCGAAGGC